TTAAGCGGTAATGCGGCACCGGTATTTGTCGGTATCAGTATTAAATCACAATTTCCACCATACTCCTTCTTTTTAGAGGTCCCCTTATCGATTGCGATCCAAGTCAATGAGCCACCATCTAAGGGGCCCTTGGAATAATAATTTATGAAACTTAATTCTAATGTATTATGATAATTTCTTTTTAATATAATTAATTGCACCTGACAAATCTGTACAAACAGTCAAAATAATATACTATAAATAAAATTGTAGTAATTATGTATACAAAAGATATTGTCTCCTTTGCAAAATAGACATGCCAGCCTTAAACCTTGTTTAGTCTATGAACCGCCTTAGGGTACGAGAGTTCGCGGATTTGTTTTATTGTCCCCCCCACCCGTCCCGCGCCCTTCCCCCGGAAGGGCGCAGACAAAAAAGCCGCGCAATATGCTCCTCGTAAGCGGCCCGCGTCGCCCCGCATCAGGCTCAGGGGATGATTGATGCTTCAAAGTTTTGACACAACCCTTGGGGAGGGCCCCCTGCTTAGGTGGCACTGAGGATGCAGGTATAAACGTTCCTCTCCATCACTCGAAGGATTACAATGTTTACGTTTACAGTCGGCTCTCATTTGTCCGATAATGTGGATAAACATGACGTTTTAGCGAAAAGAGACAATTCAAAGGTGTCCATTGCTGTGAATTGGTTTAAAAACCTATTGTCATTTTCATAAGTGATTTGTGGAGAGTGAGGAGAAAAGTTATACTTTTTAGGGTAAAAAAAAGAAAATAACTAAAAATTTTATCCCCCGGGCAAGTACACTTTGTTTGTGAAAACGATATTAAATGCAATAACGGTTATAACTTGGAATGATAACAAGACGTCAAAAAGTACCAAAACCCAATACCAAAAGTCAAAAACCAATAACATGGTTGCCACGGGTACTCTGAAGTTGATTGCAAAGCAACTCACTTCAAGGTACTTACTTTCGTAGATTTAGTGGTTGTCCTAGTCATCATTCAAATTGGTACAAATATAGTTATTATTTAAAAGAAAAAAATTAGCTGTTAATTTAATTTAGAATTTTACTACAATTGGATTCGAAATTGAAAGTCTATTGCAAACAGAGTTCGAGTGTTATTCCATGAGCTAATTACTGAATAATTATATTATATTTATTCGTATATTTTGGGATGAACAAATTTTATTTAAAGTGCTAATATAAATAAATTTAAGTCTTTTTCTGGACGATTCTAGTGTGAAAGCTTGGTCGAAACTGAAAAGTACTTCATGGATGTTGAACTTGATAACATTTAAGTTTGACCGCGACAGTTGTTGAAAGTTCATGATAAGCTGTTTGCTGCATACAATGATGTTGAAATTTGTTCAGTTATGAGTTTGCTTATAATTGTAGGAATTCAATAAACCTTAAAACTAAATAGTGTTTTGATAAAATAGTTTTTTTAATTGAAAACAATCAACAATGTTTAATTGGTAAGACGATTAATTAATAAAAAAAAAACAATGAAGAGAATTATCATGAAAAAAAGATGAAGAAGTCTTCATTTCGCTTTGCGATGTTTTTATTCAACTCACACAATGCTTCTAAGGCAGCGACATTGACATTATCTAAAATCTAACAAAATATCACACCAGAGTAATCCCAGGCAGTAATCGAAATCTGTTGATCTGGAATATTCTGGATCTGGATTTCTGTTTCTCCGACATTAGAGGAAATATATAATATATAATTTTTGTATTACCATTCGTTTTCATTAAGTTAGCAATGATTACCTGGGGAACGTGGAAATGGATGAAAATTTAAATTAAAGATCATTACGAATTTTGCACATGACGAAAAATACTCCTTTAAGAACATTACCTGCCAACAAATAATGAAAATTTAAAACCTGAAACACGAAAAGAAAAAGCTGACGTTCCTTGACCTTGACATCGTGTTTTATATAATTTTTTCTCTTCAAACTGACGGTAGCTCGGGTTTGTACTGACATCTCGTCGAACACTTTGATTAGTGATGTGACCATGCATCCAGTAAAGTATTCGAAATATCGGGAGTTAAAACAAAAATAAAAAAAAACGTACAATCACTTCTACCTTGCCACTTTCCTGCGGGAAGGTGGTATCCGAGCTGGCGGTTGGTCCATAAATGCCTGCAGCATCCGTTTGCTAGCAGTGACAGTACGAACCTTTTGGGGTTTGGAAGTGGAAATAAATATATTAACATTGCAGGAAATGGAAAAGTGCAAATCCTTTGCCTTTGTTTCCTTAGAGGTGGTTTGTGGTGGCAGATGCGCTGGCGTGATCTTACCGCAGAGTAGGCCACGAATAGAATAGTTCTTTTTTTCCTAAGCCTATAAATATTGAGTTTGGTGAAGTTTATATACGTGTCTAACACACGTAATTCAAAAGTACGCAAGGGTATTTATATCAAAATGTTTTTAAGGGCTACACAGTGGACAATCTTGGAAATGGTATAAGGAAAATAAGTGCAAAACAATTCACCTTTATATCAAAAATGTTTTTATTACAGAGCTATACAGTGAAAAAGCCTTGAAATGGTACCTTGGAAAATATGTGTAACAAAATTCACCCAAAAAAATGGCTACTTCTTGCGATCGGTGATTCGCCATCTTTCTCCGATGACAGAGTGGATACGGCGACAGTAGAGTGTCTCAATAATACACAGGCAGCTATCGGAGGCGGCGCGACCGACGCAAATTGGGCCCCGCGGCACCCCTCGCCACTCGGCGTGATTGGCTGTCACGTCGTCACGTCTGACGTCACGTTGTCACGTCGGGAGATCGGCTGTCGTGGGCACACCAGAGGTGCTATCTCGCCTTTGTCACGGAATTGTAATTAGGTTTTTCGTATTGGGGTGATGGCTCCTCAGTGCGAGCGAAGAGATACGTTTTTTCATCATTAGGGGCGGAGTACTTTTGAAAAAAAGACTTTTTGGAGAAATTTGAGTTTCTTAGTTAATAATCCTGTTTCTAAGTTATATTACTGATTTGCTGTGCTGACAAGTGATCCTTGCAATTCTTGAATGGTGAAGTTTTAGATGAAAAGGACAATTATTGTTGAAAGAAATCTTTAAGACCAGTTTAACACCACTCGACATAATACTGTGAAAATAAGTATTACATACAAATTTAGTTGTTGCTCTTTAGTTAGGTGTTCTTACGTATAGCAAATACGAGAACGCTGAATTTCTTAGCTAATTTATCTACATGAAATCATTGCAATTTGGAGTCAATGTCAGTCAAGAAAGGGGTAGGATTTTCTCATCAATGCAGATTCCTGACTGGTGAGACAATTTTGATAGAGTAAATGTAATATTTTATTTTCGTGGTAGTAGTAGTTCGCGGTTCATCGAGCTCCTTTGCCTCTAAAACTCCTGAGTTGCGAAATTCTATTGAATTCTAAATCCGGTGTTATCATTTGTTAAATATAAGTATTTTAAATTACGAATAAAAACTTTTAAGTCCTCTTCCTCATACGCTTAGTGGATCCCGGCGAAATAAGTAACTAGATGTATCCATCTTTTCACGTAAGATCCAATCTCATTAAATATTACCTAGGGTAAAAGCCGGATAGTTGCCTCGGTGGGATACATGCCCCGGTATTTAATACACTATGTTAGGAATATAAGTTGTGTTGGCGTTTTACTACAATAAGGTGTGACCTCCCCGTAGGCCTCAGTGCTGCGCAGTATCCGTAATATTACTTTACTCTATGGTGCTGCGTAAGCCATTTTAACTAATTAATTTAAATTTAATTTTAATTGAAAACAAGTTAACTCTTTTGCTGCCAAATAACAAAACCGACTTCAAATATCTCTTTATGTACTCATTTTCTAATCCGGAGCCCAAGATCCAATACCAATGGAATTAATGGGAAGCACTAGCTTTCAAATAAAAAAAGAATCATCAAAATCGGTCCAATCATTCGAAAGTTCTGAGGTAACAAACATTAAAAAAAAAAAAAAAAACATACAGCCGAATTGAGAACCTCCTGCGTTTTAAGTCGGTTGATAATTTGCTGGATAAGCCAGACTTAGAATATTTAACATGGATGAAACCGGTGTCCAACTCAATAATAACATTGGCAAAGTACTAGCTAAGAAAGATGCTAAAGCAGTTACTGTACAATTACTGAATTGTTTCTCTTTTCACCGGCACCGTTGCAACAACCAATAAACAACAGTTTGTTGGTTGTTCCAACGCTATTGACAATTTTCTCCCATCAGTTCTGTTTGTCAAAGGCGTAAATAAGAAACAGAATTAATCATAAATAATAAAAAAATTATCAGAAACTATAAATAAATCATACCGAGGTTACTAACCTCGCACGAGGCAAGTATCCCCGAAGCATTTTACACGCTAGGCTACTATCCGCCATAGTAGGCAAATATCCCTTTTCTGAGAGGTGAAATAAAACAGTATTTATTCAAAACCATTGTTAATTATGTATACAACAATAGGCTATTATAGAAGATAAAAGACCTATGTTTTGAGATACATACTGAATAATTTTCAGCAAGTTCATATTTTTGAGAAAAGCTTCAAAGCTTTTTCGAAAAGTGGGGCAAGTACTCGGCTTTTAGCCTATCTGATATCCGTAACAGTTATCTGTGTTAGGGCCATGCAGTTGCTGATATTACACGAATGGGTAGGTCAGTCCGAGGAGTGGTACTACCCGAACTGGCCTTCCCATTCGGCTTGACATAAGACCGATATCAAGTGGAAACATTATTTTTCCAAAAAAGTCCAAAGGCCTAGCCCAAAGTCCTAGCTTCGTATTTGTGTCATTAGAAGTTAAAATCATTTAAGTAGGCAGGTTGTGCATTTACTGAAAGAAGTAGCAGTTACAAGCTGGTTTTAAATAAAAGACCCGGCACATGCCCAGATTTACTTGTGGCTAAATAATAATATTCAAAACTCCCACGTCGCCGCGGCTGGCAACTATCAAATGCAGCATGCGAAATGTTGTTTGTTCTTTGTTCATTTGAAAGTCGAAAAGCCACCGTTGATTCGGACCGATTCATTCTTGTCGTTTAATTGCAGCGCGGGAAAGCCGCGGCGGCCATTGTGCGGAAAACAATATGGCGTCACTTGACGCGCGGCCGTTGCGCGCGCGCACCCGCCGGCGGCGCACTTCCGCTCGGGTGACAAAGATTCGCAACGTCGTGGATAAGTCCTTTTTACTGTTCTTTTCCGGTAGAAATGTTTCTTTTTTATGTGAGATGGTGGCAAAGGAGCTGGCGGTTCACCTGATGGTAAGTGACTACCGCCGCCCATTGCACATTGATAAGTACACCAAGATAACAAGTAATGGATATGATATCGGTCAAAGGAAAAAAAGAACACTGAGTCGTAGTAAGTAGTTAGTATACTTGTAGCTCACACCCAAGCAGACTGGTTAGTAGCCACGCATTAGACCGTTACTGCTAAATAATAAATTTGAAGTAACATATTAAACGTCTATAATAAGTTCTATTGTTTATAATAAGTTAAGGTTGAAGATGCAAATGATGTATTACCAATGCGGACTACATACTTACGCTGAATTTGTTACATTATTTACACCATATCGTTTACAATCAGACAAGAAGATAATATCTTACATTGTGCGGATTACTGCCTCTGTCATCAATTCTTACGTACAGATTCTTAATATAGACCATACTTAAGAATCCATCCAAGGAGCAGTAGCAACAGACACCCTTAAGTCGTAACGCCATGTTAATTTAATTAAGCGTTCCACTTCCAAAGTTCTCGGACTAGCCTGAAGCTTGGTGCTCGTAGCGGCGACAATAAACGCGTATACAAAAGCGCAGTGCGATATGGCTCCATATTATTTGGGTCTAAACACCGCCGCGCCTGTAATTGTGCGCGCTGGCGGCTCAAGTTACTCCCGCGGCTTCATTGTGACGAGGCTCCCAAACCAAACGACGAATAAGAATATTGTAGTGTTACCTTCGAAAACATTACCTCTCCTTACTGTGGAGGATAACATTGTCCTATGTTCTAAAGACGTTTTACAAACATAAATTTCTTGTCTCTAAAATTATCTGTGGCTCACACAAATAGTTGTCTCGTGTAGGAATCGAACCCGCGACCCGGTGCCGAAGCCGTGGCAACTGCGCCAAGGAGTCATCAATAATATTAGAGATTTATTACATTTAATATTCTAATAACTTTTCTTGATTTTCAGTTGATCAGAAATTCTGAAGCGAAATAAATCATAAGTTTTATTATGCATGAATGGATCGATCTCGACAACAAACCATCCCATATAATGCTTTTGATGTTCCTATTCTCCTCCGATAAATCCAGAAAGAAAAACTTTGTACTAAGACACGATCATTCAAAGCTTAAAGTCATACCAAATATTGTATAAAGAACAATAGTTACACATATTATTCGAGGTTGGTTTGTTAATAAATTTGTAATTATATTTGTTGTATTACTATAATTATATTAAATTAAACTTTGAGCAGCGCTGTTCATATTGACGTTTGACGGGCGAACGTTGTAATTTCCCAACGACTGCCCTACCCTGTAGCGCGCAGCTTGAACATACCTCGCGATATAATGGCACTTAGTAGGTAAGACTAATAGCTGCGTATTACTGCCGCTACTAAAAAAAATCCCTAAGCGACGTACAGAACTTAATTGATTGGCAAACTGTTTCATTGCGAATTCAATATGAGCCCTTTTTAAGCATTTTTTATGTCACCATTTAAATGTCATAATTTTATATCGATAAAACAAGTAATGTGCTACTTTTTGATTTGCATATATATGATATAGTTATACCAAATATATTGTAAAAATACACAAAAAAAATAAAATCAGACGAAATGCCATAAAATAGGTATTGAAGCCCATGCCAATCTAAAAACCAACGCCAGACTTGGAAAAGAAATAGACACTCGATAAACATAACTCTCCTTCTGGGACAGTCAGGTAAAAAGAGATGAGCTGTTCACGCACTTACAATCATTACTTAACGGGAAATTGAAATGAAAGGTAATTTCGGGTGATAAGATATATGTATCTCCATATAGACAGAATATTGCGTCAGGTACATCTATTTACAACTACACACACCGAACTAAATACGCGTATCTGTACAAAAATCGTGGCAAAAGCACGTTGCTTAAACGGGAGAGTGAACAAGTGGATATTCAAAACTTTTCAACCTGATTTAAAACCCATAAACTATCGAGTATTTTATATTTAAATCATTTCATTGATTAAAAATACTGGCAGAATTCTGATTGTCGAATGCTATAGCAATCATTGTCGATATTTTATGTTTTTTTAAATAAAAAAAACATCTTAAATAAGTATAACGTAATTAACATTCGGAAGGACTCTTTAAAAGTGGTAGTAATTATTCTAAAATCGGTATTTCGCCTCTACTGATTATGTGTTCACTTCCCCGCTACAAAATGTTTAGTTACACACGGAGAGTACGAGTTATTTACAAAATAATTTCATATTTACAATAAACTCTATACTACATTTGACAGCACTGCTGCTTAAATAGATATCTTAAATAGCATATGTTTAATTTCAATATTATTTATAAGTTTTGCCTACGATATTGTCTACAAACAGACATCACGACTACAATATAAGTTAGCTAGTAACAAAAGAAATGATCGTCAAACACCTGCCGTAATTAGCGCTAAAAGAAGCGATTTAGAAAGATACACAGACAGACAAAAAGAAGAGCAGGGAAAGAATAAATTTAAGAAAGTTTGTACAACTTTACTGTTATCTAAGTTTATAATACAATTCAACAACACGCTAAAGGTTTAAAATACTATGTATGTAAATTTTACGTTGAAATTGTTAGTAACATTCCAAATTTACGATTATTCGATTATACGGAGAATTGTATCTTTATACTGCACCAAAATAGCTTATTATTTCTATTTTCAATTCGCTTCCAATTATATGAAAACCAACGGAAGACTGCGGTTCGAAAATTAATAATGTTCAGACACTAATTCGGAATCTGTAACTGTGTAAAGTACAATTCGTAAGAAAAAAAAAAGGTTATAATGGTTCTACTTTTCGTTGAGAAGAGAAAGAAAGTCCGAATACTAAAATAACTATTATAATAATTTCCACTTAAGAAGTACAGGACGGCTCAACAAATCCCAAACGCAAATCTTCACAAGAAAAAAACGAAATTATCAAATGTTACTATCATCAAATATAATATAAAATATATATAATGTTTATAATGAATAAATATCTATGTCTCTAGAAACGTCAAATCCTCTGTCAATTCACTCGTTGGCTTCACCAAAGCCGTTGAAGTAGCCGGCCCCCGGTCACAATAACTTGGAGAAGAAGGTGTTGGGGGCAGTCATTCGCGCTGGATCCAGGATTCTCGGATAGGCACCTCCTAAAAAAGGCCTGAAAGCCACTCTACTCGTCTCTTCCGATGGACTCGTGGACGCTTCTTGCGTCGACTCGTCCTGCGTGTCGAGTGACGAATCGTTGTTAGACCCGCCAGCGCCTAAATGCAGCTTTCTGGTGTGCTTCTTAAGGTCGAAATTCCTGCAGAATCCTTTCGCGCATATGGTACACGTAAATGGTTTTCTCTCGTTGTGCGTGTGCATGTGGAAAGTCAGGTTGTAGATCTGGTGGAAGGCCTTGTTGCATATGTTGCACTTGTAAGCCTTTTCCCCGCTGTGGGTGAGTCTGTGGTTTTGTAGTTGCCTTTCTGGTGGAAACCTTTGCCACAGAACTCGCATACGAACGGCTTGTAGCCAGCGTGGATTCTAGCGTGGGTGTTCAGAGTGGACGAGCGGTTGAACGCCTTGCCGCACGTGAGGCACTTGTGGGGCTTCTCCGAAGTATGAATTATCTTGTGCCGGCACAAAGTGGAGGCCTGGCGGAACCCTTTGCCGCAGATCTTGCACACGAATGGGCGCGCCCCGGTGTGCACCGGCATGTGCCTGGTTAGATTGTAGTGGGCGTTGAAAACTTTACCACAGTCGCCGCAGGCGAAGCTTTTATTCTTGGCAGGCGACGGCGTTGGTCCCGTGGTGGATGACACCGCGTGGTCTGCAGCTGAGGCGCGTGGACTCGGCGGGCGTTGTACAGGGGACTGCACCGGCGGCGGTCTGGGTAGATGCAGCTGGTGGGCGTACGTCAGTGACATTAGATCCGGGCCGTAGTACAGGAGGGGATAGTGGGCGGCGAGCTGCCTCCTAGCTGCCGGTATGTACTGCTTGAAAGCGGAATCCAGGAGTTGAGCACCGTACGATAAGAAGCCGGTCGGCTGAGGGGGCGGCTCCGGGGAGACAGACTTCTTCCTGTCGGGCTCCATGAGTCTCGCGATGGAGAAGTTGAGGACTGGCGCGGGGGTGTCGGGGGACTTGGCGCGCTCGGGGGAGGACTCGCGCGGTCCCTCGGGGCGCGCCGTCGATTGGAACGGCTGCATTTCGTACCTGCGGAGAGGGTGTGGCGGTTAGTAGTTGCGGCGGGCATTGTTCGGCAGCGGTCCGCAGCGACAAAGAGGCACGGAGCGGTTGTTTTAAGCAAATTGGTAGGGTGCGTTTGACGGTGCCGTTTGCGGGCCGCGGCCTTTGTGGGGAAATCGTTTGCAAACATTCGTCGTACGGATTGCCATCGATGAATGCGGCGCCGAACGGAGGGCTCTCCGCATCGCCTTGGCACTCGACGGCTCCACTTGCGTTAGTAATTAGAGCGGGTGTGGCGCGGTCGGCACAATGGATGCCGGGAGCGTTTTTACGAATATTGAAATCGATGTCGATCGTTGGACATTTCGCTTTGGTTTGACAATGGAACATTTCTTTTGGGGAATACACTGGGGAAACCTCGATTCGATTCTCCGTTGTGGTACATTAAAATATTCTAATACAAGCTGGACAATGATGGCCTAGTGGTTAAGTTATCAGACTAACGTTCCAGCGGTATAAAAAAATCAATAACTTTTAAACACTTGTCTGGTTTTAAAAGGCAGGCTCACTACCCGACCAAAATAATAGGTGAATTGCAATAATTCTGTTTTCATCTTCTCCTTTTTATGCAAGAGTGTGGCAAATGAGCAGGCGGATCACCTGACGTGATCAATTAACCCCGCCGATGACCAATTAGAACACTGCGGGATGGTGTTGTCAACTATTAAGTTCGAGCCCCGATACTTCACTCAGCAGACAAAATGCAAAAGTACTTCAGCTTCACGCTGAGTGTCTATATGGGCGTGGTGCTGCCCATTTGTCCAAAAGCAGAAGCTACTCTGTCCTACCACAATAATATTAATTAATTCTTCTTACTACTTTTACTTAACTGATACTGTTGATCTTAATGAATCTTACTTTGAATGTAATTTCTTTTGCACAGTTTCCGAACGAATTTTGAAAAGTTTAAATAGATAGTACATCTAAATGTAATAACATATTTGAATGACGTTTCCCGAATAATTGACGGTAGCCTGGGTTAACTTTGACATCAAGACGTGTAACAACTCAGTCTGCCTCGTGACCATGAACGCTCAAAAATGTTCGAAACGTCGTCGTAAAGATCAAAAATTAAAACGCGATAAAATCCGTAACTAACTTCGTTTAATACGACATTCAAATGTCCATTTTAGTCGTAGTACTCATAATATCAAAACTTAAGTGTGTTTTAAAAATTAAGTGAGGTATTTTTTTTAAATGAACCGTAGGGTTGGCGACTGGGGCACTTATGAAACAATGCAGCACGAGGGTCGGTTTGTTGTGAACCCTGAAAATATGCTAGTGCGGCCGCCGGATAATTGGTGCGCCGGCAGTGCATTGTTTCTGTGCAATGCCACAGCAAGGGGACGTGACGTGCGGGTACGAATCCGCGACCCCCGACCGTTGATTTGCCTAAAGCTGCGGTCGATGATGCTTATCGTATTGTCGTCATACGTCTTTGATGATTGTTTTGATTACTATTTCCCGACAAAAAGTTGTCAAGAAATTTTTCTCATATTCCATCATTTTTATTGGAAAATTATTATTGAAAATAGACCAGACGATTGAATAATTTTCCAAAATATACATTTTTCAAGAATGTATTCATTAATATAGGAAGAATATTATATAATTTTCAAAAAAAAACACAATTTAAAACAAGAAAAAAAGACATTACGTTGTTAATATTTATATGAGAATACAAATCTAATTGTTTTGCCATTTGCTACTTATTAATTTTTTTTCAGATTCGTAGTTTTACGACCGAATTGTCGTAATGGATAGCGAATTTGTGTCTAGTGCCAGAGGGCAAGGGTTCGATCCCCGCTACTGGAAACATATTGTGTGATGAACATAGTGTTTTTCTTGCTTCCGAGTCTTAATATATCTATAATATTTATTTATTTACAAAAAGGAAGTATGTTTAAGCAGGTTTATCAGTATCTGGTACCCATAGCTTTGCTTAGTTGGGACTACATAGATAACGCTGTGTAAAATGACCTGAAATAAGCATTTATTACTTTTATTTTTATTATTTTCGTTATTATTCAATATCTCTATAGTTATTTAATAAAATAATGTATACCCTATTACTAGCATCGCGGCGATTTTCAGTTTGTGGATATTGAATAATTACTACCATTTAGGTGGCAATAAAAATTTGGATGTTTCGTAATTTCGATAGGCCGGTGAATCATCCGTGGTTCAAACCAATATGGTGACTCTCATCCTCATTCTAGTTATCTACCGTGTGGTAAGTCTTTGTTTCAAGGAACACGAGGGATCTGAGATAATAATTAATTGGCCATTGGACCACTAAGTTATCTTCCAGTTTTGATTAGTTTCAATAATATGTTTTGTATTTTTATTTCATTTTCTTACTTTCTTCCCACAGCGAATATATAGCACTAAATTGACTCTCTTACAACATAAAATTTTCATTAAACTACTTATAACCTAAAATTTTCGTTATTACACAATGATGTTTTAATAAAGATGACGGATGTCCATACTGCGCGACTTTGTTTTTTTTTATGTGAAAAGTTGCCAAGCGAGCAGACGGTTCACCTGACGTTAAGTGAACACCGCCGGCCTTTGACATCTGCTACACCCGAGGGTTGCAGATGCGTTGACAACCTTTTGAAAATTGGCCTCCGGCCACCTCACTCAACAGACGAAACGCGAAAGTATTATACTTCCACATCACGCCGGTCTTCTGTGAGGTCGTGGTACTTACCCGGACGAGCCTGCCCATTCGTGCAACAGCTGTGAAAGATACTATAAAATTGTTCTGTTTTACATTATATGACATATGCGTATGTGATGGATACAGAGTAATTCGAAAAGAGATTCCATCCTATAGAATTGTAATCTAATTAAACCCATTGGCATGTTTTGAGTGCGTCATATCCATCTCCTATATGCATATCATATCATCGTAATATTATTAAAGCAATGAACCATCATTTGTATTTTAACGAAAGCATAATTTAATCAACCTTTTTATATTACATGGTACCAATTAAACAAAGCATTGGAAACAAAACAGTTGCATACGGACGTAACAAACAACGCTTTAACTCTCCGGTGCAATAGAAACGCAAGAGTGTTCACAGGTCGCGCGTCCAGGTGTACGGGCCGAAATGGATGTTGGCACAACAGTACTTGTGTGAAACGGCACACAATAAACCGAATATTCCCCGCTCCATACAAATACTTCCCCTCATTAAAACTAAGTGGCGATTGTTTAAGGACCGTTGGCTGAGTTTTCCCGGCCGTTGCTTGAGCCGAACGAGACTGACGAACTTATTTTTTACCAACGCTTCCTCACCCGCTGGTGGGAAAAAATCTTCGCACTATGAGCAAATTTTTGCCTCCAATAAACTAATTTTGCACTGGAAGAGTCATGCTTTAGATTCTGCAGATCAAAATAATTTCGCAGCCGCATTTTTATGAGCCCCCGTTATGATGAACCTTCAGTTGACGTTAACGATATAGAAAATCTATACTTAATACTCGTAAAGCATTACGTCGACAGGATCTATTTGAAAATCCCTTGTCGTCACGTTAAACATATCAGAGTCAACTGAACGGCCCTCTGTGCCCTCCACGCATCAGATAAGGCCCTCTATCGGCGCGGGGCTGCCCTATCGCAGATCCGCAATATCGTAATTACCAGCGTCGAAGTAGCCGACCTCTCAAACGCGGTCGCGCGCTATCAACGCAGCATCCCATCTAATCGGCGGCTCTCTAGATAATGGGCTGATTAGACACATTCTCCCGGCTGCCCACTTCAGTGAGTAATATTGGAATCTATAACCATGGGTATAAAGCCTACAATAGAGTTTATGTCCACTGGTTAAGCTAACATTGTAGCCCTGATATCACGAAATCGCCAATGGACATTGAAAGCTGCCTCTTTGATTTAAAGTCTAAATAACTATATGTAGATGCTAAATGTATTAAATTGAGATTAATCCATTTACTTTAGTGCTAATAAGTTCAAGTTGTTAAGAGTATCTTTGAAGAAGAATTGACGTTTGAAATTCTTCTGTCATGATTATTCTATTTTGTCATGATTAATTACCACGGAATGGATTCTGTCGATTCTGTCGTTGTTCTACAGGTATTATCAATACGAGTACCTTACACTTAATTAACAAGGGACTTTACTAAAATGTGAATAACAATGTGCTCAAAATATTGATTGTATGTACTTATGTATGAATTTAGTGTAAAATAAACACTATATGGCAAAGTATGCAAATTAGATTAATTCTATAATTCCTGTTTTTTACTAAGTTTACATTGCTCAACTTTTAGTCTTTAAGAATATTTCATTGTACTTTATGAACGACAGAATTCGCCATTTCCAATCCAATGTCAATTTGACATCTGTCAAGACAAGACGTCATTAGTGCAGGCGACATCCGACAAGCGTAAGCCCCTAAACACATAATCGCTCATCAACCGTCTCTTTCGAACACACGGTTATTTATATAGTCTTCCCTTTTCCAATCCTATAATCTGTTATAGAGTTTTGGCACCGACCAATTATTTTTGATCTTCCATTTGGGGCTATTTACGCGAAATGAGGGATCATTATGTTTCGGCGCCTTTACTTCAAATAACGGGGAGGTTACTAGCATATCGTGATCCATGGACGCACTCAACTTATTGCGTGTTCGGTGTCGCGATGGGGGTCGTGATATGTTGGCGCCTGGAAGTCTATCGGAAGGGGTGGTTTCCGTACGGTATTGTGGTGTAAATTGTTTATTACGAGTGCTAAGTGGTTCTGCGGATACGTCATTTCATTTGGATTTATGGATTGCGGCGCGGGCTTTGATTGCTTTCCAATATTTATGTTAAGCGTGTTCATGACGTCCTGATCGTTAGTGTAATTGCAAATTTATCTATACAGAGTTTATTTATTTGTTTAATCTTTATTGCACTAAAAATTGTACAAAGGCGAGCTTAATGCTATATTGCATTCTCTACCAGCTAACCCTACGTAGAACAGAGACATAATGGCAAGGTAAAATACTTGTAATCGTTACATAATCAAAAAAAATATTTCATAATTAGGTTATAAATCTAAAAACTACCAACATAAACATACGTAGATGAGTATACTTATATACTCATACATACACAGTAATTATACTTAAATATTCATTCTACATATAACTAACCTAATAATATTTATATATGTATATCTATATACCAGATGTTCGTACATAGTAAGCACTATTAAGGTAGCTAAGACTCAGCAAGGTATGCTCAAACAATTTTCTTTTGAAAATATTTTTTGTTTGCGATTGTCGCAGGTCAACAGGCAACCGGGAGTTTAC